AAAAATACCAGAAAAATATTATTTTCAATTAAAAGAGAAACACCATTTTTAAAGATAACATCTATTATTTCTATACTAACAATATATTATTTGAGATATTTTGTTGTGCATGAATAGTGACTATGTTTTATTAGGAGTAGAGAGTTTATTTTTAGTAAACCATTGTGAGGTTTTTTCCTTCTATGTCAATGTGTGTGTCCTAAGTTGTTTATTTCCGAGGTTCACCTAATATTGTTAAATATATGAGGCCAGCTATACAAAAGTAACTTGAAAAGATTACAATCTAGGACAGACAGCCTCAACACTTACAATCTGTCTCTGTTTGAGGGCAAATACTCCTTTGGAAAATCATACCTAATTACATAAACTGATGACTATTTCTCAGCTATCCTTGTGGTTTGTCTGTTAATTCATGCTTTCTCAGAGTTGAAATTCTTTTTGCTTTTCAAGCAATCTCAAACTAACAGAAGAGTTTTACGTACAGAGTAAAGAATGTTTTCCCCTGAACCACTGGGGAACAAGTTGGTCACCTGATGACCCATTCGACCTCGGAAACATTACATTATTTCCTACAAAGGACATAGTCCACTTCACCCCAATACTGCTGTTAAAATCAGGAAATTAGCATTTATGCACTATCATCTCATCCCACATCTTATCTAAGTTTCAACAAAAGTCTTTATAATGTACTTTTTTAGTCAAAGGTTTCAGCTCAGGATCACATGAGCTGTCATGAGCCATGTCCCTCTATTCTCTTCACTCTAAACAGCTTTAGACATCTCCTGACTTTTATGACCTTGATGCTTATGAAAGTTCCAGGATAGTTAAGTTGTAATACGATTAGATTCAGAGTATACACCTTTGGCAGGAAAATCACAGAGGAGATGTTGTGTTCTTCTCACTGCATCCTATCAGATGACACAATTTTATTTCTTTCTTTACTGATTTACGCTCTGATCATTTGATTAAAGTGGTGTCTGCCAGGCTTCTCCACTTAAAAGTTATTCTTTCTCCCTTTTCATTAATGCCAATTTTGTGGGAAGTTACTTTGAAACTATATAATATTTTGTGCCTCATCAAACTTTCAATTGATTCATTTAATTAAGTTCAGTATGTACTCATGAATACCTGTATAATTCAATAGACATTATTCAGTGCATATGGATACTAGTCCATTAGTATTATTATTTACTTTCATGCTCTGTTTGTCCATTCGCACCCCCTTCACTTTGGCTTCTGTATCCTTTTGACATCACCCATTATTCTTTGAACACTTCACTGCTTTCTGGCATAAGATATTCCAGGCTTATCCTATCCTTTCCCCACTCCAGTTCTGATATCAGCCATTTCTATAAAAAGTCCAAGTTATTATTAGTAAAAAAAAAAAAAAAAAAAAAAAAATGTATTTAGAATCAAGATTTGGGTGCTAAGTATGTTCATCACTGCTCCATCGCAGTGGGCAGACCTAAGAATACATGTGTACATATACACACACACACAACATATATATAATGGGTATAATATACATACATATATACAGTTGGCCCTTGAACAATGAGGGTTTGAACTTCAAGGGTCCACTTATACGCATATTTTTTTCAAGAGTAAATACTACGTTACTCCATGGTCCATGGTTGGTTCAATCCTCAGATGCGCTGATACAGAAGGCTGACTATAAATTATACATAGATTAACCTTTGTGTTCAGGGATCACCTGTCAATATATATGACACATATATGCATTATACATATATTTACACATACACGTTTATATTTATGCATCTATTTATATAGATATATATAGACATAAGACATGGATAGAGATAGATATTTAAAGTCATGAATTCACGCTAATGCTGCCAATCGCAGTCCAACACCACAAGGTTCATTTTAGTTTTCCCCGTTTATTTCCTTCTTCTCTAGAGAAAAACCTAGATTCTGTTATCCTCACCAGCTTTACTTATTTGATCAATCCCCCCATATATAACTAATCTCCCACTGGCCCCAAAGAGATGTCTTCCTCACCCACTTAGGCTCCAGCATCCTGCACTGTCTGCTCCTGCATGCTTTACCTCCATCCTCTGATCAGGATCAGACCTGCATGCCATAGCTACGCAGAAGCCCTTGTCACTCTGCTCAGCGCTAAGGCCTCTCGCCAGACCACCCTTCTGCAGGAACGCCCACCTCGTGTGCTTTGTCTCTAACACTCTACACGGGGCTGCCCTCCTACCTGGATGCCATCCTGACTGGGCTCAGCTTCTAATTCCCTGATCTGAAACCGTATGGGTCCCTTCAACAGGGGAGATGCTTCCGCATTTCCCCACGTAATGACTACAGGACTCATTCCCAGAACTTGGAAGGGAAGGAGATGGGGATGAGAGGTGGGGATAAAAGACCAGGACGAGGAAGAGCCAGTTGAACTAATTCTTAACAAATGTGTATATAATGTAATTTCAAATGTGATGGTAATTTAGGGTCAAAATTTTGATGCCTCAGATACAGCCCTGTTAAAGACAGGCTTATATCCCATCCGTTCCTTTAAAGTTTAAATGCCATGAAAGGTAAAACCTGCTAAAGTTTTCTGCTTAGATATAGACTAACAATGTAAGGCATGTAGGTACTCGAATATTTGTTCCAACAAATATTTACTACCGGGCAGTTGCTCTGTGTGTCTCTAGAAAGGAAGGGGGCATTGATCAAGGAAGCATATAAGCAACATCCTTTAGAAGTTAAAAATGATCATTTCAAATGACTCCCCTGCAAACATTTTTCAAAAGATAAGCATGAGCCTTTCCTTCTATTTGTTCCCCCATAAGAGTAATAATAATGATTTTTAAATATTCCCATTTATGTAATATTTCTCCTTCATAAAGATATTCTACATTTCTTATTTAATTAAAACAGCCTAAAAGAGTTAAGGCGAGTCCTTGTGCCAACTTTATTCCAGGACTCAAACTGAGTCAGCAAGCCCTACAGCCCAAATCTAGCATTTGTATCCACACACTCTGCTCTCTGTCAGTGATTCCAAACTTCCATAAACGTACCCACTCATCTCAGAGAGACAACTGAGTTTAAGAACACAGTATTTGGAATCGGACTGAACATGCTAAATTTCCTGCTCTACTGCTTAATTATTTGTACTTAGGCAACTATTTAGCCTCTCTAAATTCCAATTTCCTCATCTGAAAGTCAGGGATAATAAAAAGTAACCCATAGAGCTATAAACTATATGGTGCAATGCCTGGCACACAGTTGTTACATAGTAAATATGATACATTTATGATAAAAAATGATAAACATTTTTATTTTTAAAATTTGGCCCCAAATCTTAGGTTTATAGAACACCTACTTCCAAGTAGTTCAAAAGCACCTAGGTAAAAAATAGCCAGTAAACTTCACAATGGTCTTTAGCAAGGAGGAAACTGAACCTCACCGAGATCGATACAGTATCTATAAAATGAGATGAGGCTGCCTCACAATTTTTAATTCTGCCTTGAAATGAAATGTTAACTTCATGCCTTTTATATGTCACATTCTTCCATAATTTTAGCTTAAGTGGAGCTTAAAGGACAGGACTTGTGCTACATACACACACAGACATCTGCCGTACATATATACATCATTCTGTTTATTTAAAACTTTGTTCATTTATCCCACCTTCATTTGTTTCCTACTTTTCTCTTTGGAAGTCTGCTCTAAGTGTCAATTTAAACCTGACTCCCTGATATCCAACGGTGCACTCTCTAGGCCATATCATTTCAAAGCAGTGGTTTTCAACCTGCTTAGGATCATATGATTAAAATCACATGGGAGCTTTTAAAACTCCTCACGTGTAGGCTGAATCCCAGGCCAACTGAATCAGAATTTTTGAGGGCAGGATCCACTTATCAGCATTTTTAATGCTCGCTGGTAATTCCAACATACAGCCAAGTCGAGAACCAAAGTTCTAGGACACACCTAGAATGTGTTGGTCCTCAGAAGTGCAGTACTCTCAGGTGAATGATAGGATAATCAGGGATAGCCCAGGGTGCAGAAAACGTCCTTGACCATTCTTTGTAAGTGGTGTGAATGAAAAAGAGAAAGGTGGCTGCAAAGCGGGGTGAGGAAATTTAGAAACTGAGGCAACCCAAAATGTTTTGTCCAAGTTGTTAACAGCTAGGCCTGTTAAAGGACATTTATTAAAAAATGAGTAATCTTATTATTTGATTATCTTTCCATCTTCAAAGTATGTTACAAAAAGTACATGCTATAAGCTCATAAAAAATGAATTTGTATTAAAGGTTCGAAACCTTGTGTAGAATAATATCCTGATTTTAGTTACTGATGGGCAATATTTGCAAACTTGGAGGTGGTCTGTTATCCTAATTAGCCGCTAATACTTTGAAATTTATAACACAGGAACTTGCATTAGAAAGTGCGTTAGATGGAATACTTTCACCATAAAAAGTAATTATAAACAGGTGAAGCTAAAATGGCAGATCTGGTGTTCGTTTCCCTGATGCTGTGCACCAAAATCCCTCTTTCAGTGTCTTAATAATACAACCACAAATACAAACAAAGAAAAACCCATGGTCTTTGTTTTCAAAGACCAAGGTAGAAAAGAAGATACACACATTATTATCCTTAAGTCGTGGGGCTTTGTTTTGTTGTTGTCGTGTTATTTCAGCTCAGCTCTAAAAAATATCATCAAAGCCAACCCACCTGCCAGGAAGGGAGGAGGGGATATTTAAGCCTCACTATCGATTTAAGTGGAGGGCCTTGGGAAATGTGGCTTTCAGAAATCCTGCCACTTTAGCAGAGGCCAAGTCGCTGCCTTGTTCCTGCCCGCACCCTCACGCCCTTCTCCTAGGAACACCCAGACACTGCCCTACTACCCACGACCCCGTCTCGTAGGGCGCTGTTCGTTCCAGCGGAGGAACCCGAACCGCACCGGCCTCTCGGCCAGTTTAGATAACCCTAGCGTGGCAAACGGGCGGAGGCGGACGCCGTCCCCCACCCGCAGTCGCCAGCATCCCCGCGCGCTCTCCGCCCCCTCCTTGGCCCAGCAACCATCACACCTGGGGTACGGCCGTCCTCCGAGCTCCGGCGCACCGGGGCGAGGAGGCACAGGAGGAGCAGCGGCAGGGGCGGCGCCCGGGGCCCCCGCAGACTGGGGAGGGAGCGCATGGCGCCAGCAGGTCCGCCGCGGTCCTCGCGCACCCACCGCCGTCGGTGCCCGGAGTCGCTGCGCACACTCGCCGGCAGCGCGGCGCCCGCTGCCAGGCCCGGGGGCAGGACACTCGAGAAAAGGCGAAGTGGGAGGGGCCGGCCGCCCTGCCCTCCTCCCGTGAGACACTCTGACCGCGCCAGCAGCACACCGAGAGCTGCGCCCGGTCCTCCATCAATTATGCAGCCAGCGGCCGGCTGCAGGAGCGCCCGGATGTGCGGTGGCCACCCCCGCGCCGCATCCTCCCCCGCCTCCTCTCCGCCCCAGCAGGTTAAGGAGGGAGATAGCTTAAGACGCTGGCAGGTGGCGCCTAGCCCATCTCCTGGGGGAGAGGTCGAAACTCCTAATATCTATATATCTACAGATATATCTGCAGACTATCCTTTGCAGTTCATCTGAAGCAAGGTTCACTTATTTACTTTAGTGGGACAGAGGGTGGCAACGCGTTTCAGCTCCCCCGGCCATTCTGGGTTAAGAAAGCTTATGTGTGTGCGCTGGTGGAAGGCGCTATCCAGCTGCCCGGCATCCTGGACTAATCTGTCTTTGCTCTGCCTACCAATCGCACACAGCCTCCTCTCCGGCCTCTGAAGGCTTAACCGGTTCGCTCTAGATTACGGTTTCAGAGTCTCAAGAGTCCCGCAGTCTGTTTTCCTTTTTCTTTTGTTTGCTTAACCTAGCAGTTTCCGAGAAGCCACTTAGAGCTCAAGAAACAAAACTATGTTAAGTAGATAACTGTGTAAAATGCACAAGCCTGTAGACCTTTGTCAAACTCCAACACCGTTTAAGATGTTATCCCTTCCTTACTGTAGCTTGGAATTTTTCAGTGCTTCCGGCCAAATAAAATAAAACAACTAAAAGCTACTGCTTTATCGGAGAGGGTAGGAGGAATCTAATTACCACATAAAGGAGTAGTAAGATGTGATAATTCTCCAGGCTGTTACAACACATTAAAAGATATATTTTAAAAGTATTTCTCATGAGTTTGTTCCCTCTGCCTTTGTCTTTGCAATGTCAGGTTTGATAGTCGTAAATTCAAAATATATCTGTCAAAAAAAGGATTGAAAGAAAATGTTAGATACGAATTTTGAAAATGGAAGTGCAAGACAAGAGCTATGCTCACCTCATACAGGAATGATTTTTAATTGGTGTGTATTTTTAAAATATTCCAGTTTAATGTTACATAGGCAAGACTTTGAGGGAAAATGTAGATTATTTAAATTTGTATCAAGAGAGCATGAATAATACAGTTCGTTAAGAAATATTAAATTTCCACCAAGTGCCAGGCACTGTGTTCATTTCTTGTATTGCAAGGAGTGCCCGCATGCGCGCGCGCGCACACACACACACACACACACACACACATCTAGAGAGCTATTTATCTATGAACTACAAATCTAAGGAAAGCCTCGTCTCAGTCAGAAAATTATGGCTATAATGATTAAACCTTTCTGAACAAAGCCTTGTGAGAGACCCTGAAGGACTAAACATTTTATATCATGACCCTCTTAAGACCTTGAGCAGACTTGCTAAACCCAAACTGCCTGATCACTTGTCGCTAAGTCACACCCCTGTCTTGCTGCCCTGCATCCTGTCTCAAGACTAACTACAAGCATTTCCCTATGTCATTGGAGAGTTTTAACAGTTAAGCACTTCTCAAAACAAACTGGACTCTGACTGACCTTCCCCAATTACTCCAATAAAATCCTTAAGCTCAAATTCACCTTTCTTCAAATAAGCTGACCTCATTTAAGGAAATATTATCTTCCCAGTCAGATCAACGTGTTTATGAACAGGAAAAAGTGACTCGCCAGGTTGAGGCTAGTTTCCACTTCTCTTTTGCTGTTAGAGCGAAATAAATTGAGGAAGAAATAGAATTCTTGTTTTGCTAAGCATTTTGAAAGTTTTCCCTATTAGTACTGGTTTATATTTATATATTTAATATTTTTTAGCCTTATCCCTAGTCCATTTTTTTCAAATGATCCGTATCCTTTAAAACCAATTTATATACTACCTTCCATGTATAGCTTTTTCTGATCTTTCTGGTCCAGATTGACCTTTCCCTCCATGGTGAATTAAATATGGCCACATCTGCTTTGACACTGTCCTCATCATGAGGTATGTTGAAGAAGAAAGAGGGTCCTGTATTTCCTCCCCTTGAGCTGGGTGACTCCTGTTGACATATTTGAATATCGCTGAAGTAACACTGTGTGAATTTCCGGATCCAGACGACAAGGGCGTCCATTTCCTTCCTTCTTGTCTTACAAGACAGCTGCCAGGAAAGAAGTATGACTACCTTGAGATCACCGTGCTGTGAGAAGCCCAAACTACTCCTGGGGGTGCCTAGAACGATGAGGTGCCATGTAGAAAGAGGGGCTGAGGGGCAGTAAGGTGTGCTGGTTTTGTGAGGGACCCTTCTTGGAGCCTCAGACAAGGCCTGCTGAGTGCCACGTGATGCTCCTTGAAGCAGAAGAATTGCCCAGCTGAGCCCTGCCTGTACTCCTGGCCCACACAATTGTGAGATGTAAGAACACTATTGTTTTAAGACACTAAAGTTAAGGGTAGCTTGTGTCACCACAATAAATTATCCAACCACTCTCCTCTGAATCTCCCTAGGATTAATTTGACAATTAACAATTTACAGCCTTGTGACTTGACCTTCATGGTTGGTTTCAACCCCCATTTAAATATTTTATTTATTTATTTATTTATTTATTTATTTATTTATTTTGTGGTATGTGGGCCTCTCACTGTTGTGGCCTCTCCCGTTGTGGAGCACAGGCTCTGGACGTGCAGGCTCAGCGACCATGGCTCATGGGCCCAGCCGCTCCGCGGCATGTGGGATCTTCCTAGACCGGGGCACGAACCCATGTCCCCTGCATCAGCAGGCGGACTCTCAACCACTGCGCCACCAGGGAAGCCCTATATGTTTTATTGGTATTCAACTTATGTGATTATATCTTCTTTCCCGACTACATTACAACTCTTTTCAGTATAGACAAACCATCTCTTTTCTTCTTCTGTTTTTCCTAAAACTCTGTTATCCCTAGTCCATTTTTTTCAAATGATCCGTATCCTTTAAAACCAATTTATATACTACCTTCCATGTATAGCTTTTTCTGATCTTTCTGGTCCAGATTGACCTTTCCCTCCATGGTGAATTAAATATGGCCACATCTGCTTTGACACTGTCCTCATCATGAGGTATGTTGAAGAAGAAAGAGGGTCCTGTATTTCCTCCCCTTGAGCTGGGTGACTCCTGTTGACATATTTGAATATCGCTGAAGTAACACTGTGTGAATTTCCGGATCCAGACGACAAGGGCGTCCATTTCCTTCCTTCTTGTCTTACAAGACAGCTGCCAGGAAAGAAGTATGACTACCTTGAGATCACCGTGCTGTGAGAAGCCCAAACTACTCCTGGGGGTGCCTAGAACGATGAGGTGCCATGTAGAAAGAGGGGCTGAGGGGCAGTAAGGTGTGCTGGTTTTGTGAGGGACCCTTCTTGGAGCCTCAGACAAGGCCTGCTGAGTGCCACGTGATGCTCCTTGAAGCAGAAGAATTGCCCAGCTGAGCCCTGCCTGTACTCCTGGCCCACACAATTGTGAGATGTAAGAACACTATTGTTTTAAGACACTAAAGTTAAGGGTAGCTTGTGTCACCACAATAAATTATCCAACCACTCTCCTCTGAATCTCCCTAGGATTAATTTGACAATTAACAATTTACAGCCTTGTGACTTGACCTTCATGGTTGGTTTCAACCCCCATTTAAATATTTTATTTATTTATTTATTTATTTATTTATTTATTTATTTTGTGGTATGTGGGCCTCTCACTGTTGTGGCCTCTCCCGTTGTGGAGCACAGGCTCTGGACGTGCAGGCTCAGCGACCATGGCTCATGGGCCCAGCCGCTCCGCGGCATGTGGGATCTTCCTAGACCGGGGCACGAACCCATGTCCCCTGCATCAGCAGGCGGACTCTCAACCACTGCGCCACCAGGGAAGCCCTATATGTTTTATTGGTATTCAACTTATGTGATTATATCTTCTTTCCCGACTACATTACAACTCTTTTCAGTATAGACAAACCATCTCTTTTCTTCTTCTGTTTTTCCTAAAACTCTGTTTTCCCTTTTTCTATAGTAAAATAATGCTATAAAATCTTTTTTTTTTTTTTTCCTTTAGCTACTGTTGAGTGAAAAGTGTATGACATGATCCTGGGAAACTGTGAACATGAGAATGGGAATGTGGAGTGGGTTAGTTCCTACTGAAAATAATATTTAATTTTAAAATTTTATTAGAAAAAAGCATTATATCAAACAGTAATTATGTAAAGTACTAAAAAAAAAAGGTGGGAATTTGCTACTGCCCATTAGTAGAATACAAATCCAAGTCATGAGATAATGGTAGGCAAAATTCTTCAGTGACCCCCCAAGATTCTTGACACCTGATCACATGGGGTGATCCTGGACTGTGGGCAGGTCTGTGAATATGTTGGGGTAGTCACTATTTTGATTAGGGTACATTTGTTAAGACTCTATTTCAGCAGGCTGGAGGGAGACATTCCTAGTGAGGCAGATACCCTCATGCTTGTCTGGAAAAAGCAAACAGCCACATTGTGAACTAACTGCCCATGGAGAGGGGCATCCTCCAGGAGCTGAGCATGGCAATCCTATAACTCCAGGGAACTGAATTCTGCCAACAACCAGTGAGCCTGGAAGAAGCCCCAAGCCTCAGATGACATCACAGCCCCAGTCAACACTTTGCAGCCTGGTGAGACCCTGAGCAGAGGATGCAATTAACTGTGCCTGTCTCTTCTGACCCATGGAAATTATGAGATCATAAATTTGTGTTAAATCACTAAGTTGTTGGTAATAAACTAATACAGGGCATCCCATCAGATGTGATTCTAGTTACATTGTAAAAAAATGATCCTATACTTGAACAAGGTCAGAATGGATG